TAGAAGAACGGGTCAACATAGTTTGTAACAGATCAGTGGACCACTTATTCTCCTCCCAACAATCAACTATCATTAAGTTAAGATTGAAATTGTGCTCAACATATTGCAGCATATCATCTGAGCACCAATTGTCCAACCAGAAATTAAGTTTTCCATGGACCAAATCCCATAGGAAGAGTTTCTTAGCTTGGTGTCTAACCTTTAAGAGGCTGACGCAAAGTTTGTGGTCACAGATTTTCCTAACTACCAGATTAGGATGAGTGCCCTTGCAATATTTACCCATCATAAATTTTTCTTAGAGGGAGTCCCACTGCCTAAATTTAATCCAAAGCTTACAAAGGTTGATTTTTGCAACTGAGGTAAACCTTTAAATCCTAGTCCACCAACAATAATAAGTCTAGAAAATTTCTGCCTGGCCAAATGGAGTTGTTTCCTTTGTCCTGACCATAAAAACCTATTGAAACATCTTTCTAAATGGAGTTGAATGCTTTTATTCATCCCGGACATCTGTAACATATACTTTAGAAAAGTGGTTAAGATGCTCTTTAAGAGGGTGATCCTACCCCAATTAGAAAGGAAAGAATTGGTCCAACAATTAAGCTGGGCATCAATTTTGGTGATAACATGGTCAAATTGCACAGTAATGGAAAATCCAGTAAAATATTGTATCCACTATTTAAACTGATCATTAGTTCTACAACTAAACAACAAGGTACATTTAGTGGGATTTAATTCCATAACAGAGCACTGTTAGAAGTTCTTCAAACATTGCATGATATGCTTGGTAGCAGATTTATTATCCCCGGAAAACAGGATGATATCATCTGCATACAATAGGTGGCTAACAGGAAAGTTAGACCTATGGTGGTTCAAATTAAAGGATTTTGAGGAGATTCTACCGTCCAGAAGTCTGAACTGGTAGTCCATAGCCAAAATGAAAAGAGTAGGGGATAATGGGTCTCCTTGCTTCAGCCCCCTAGTAACAGGGAAAAATTCATGAGCCCTTCCATTAAGGAGAATAGAGTTGACATTTCCTTGCAGCCACCTTGATATAAGATCACGGAAAGTAGAAGTAAAACCCCTAGCTCTTAGTGTATCTAAAATGAAATCCCAGTTGATGGTGTCATATGCTTTCCTCACATCTAGCTTGTAAATTAGATTATTCCCTATACAAGACCTATCAATTTTAGTCACCAGCTCTTGGCAAGTAGGGCACTATCACTGATGCTTCTACTAGTGATAAATGCAGCCTGATTTGGTCTGATTAAGTAGGAGAGATGAGGCTTCAATCTGTTAGCAATAATCTTACTGATAATTTGCTAAAGACAGTGGTGAGAGATAGGCCTGAAATGCTTCCACTGAAATTTCTCAGAAGATTTAGGGATCAATACAATATTGAAGGCACTGAAATATTTAGGGAGGGCATTCCCAAGTAAGAAAAATTGTATAGCCTTAATCACATCAGTTTTAGTAATCTGTCAGGGTTTCTTATAGAAATCAGATGAGAACCCATCTGGTCCAGTTGTCTTGCCACTATTTATGCTATTAAGAGCTTCCCATATTTCCTCTTCAAAGGTACTGTTAGCAAGATTCGATGCAGTAGCATAAGATAACTTCTCCTGGAACAATGAATAATCTAGCTGGGATCTAAGAGGAGGAGAAGAGTTCATAATTTGTTGAAAATACTCCACAGCATCTCGTGTAATGGCAGAGGCTTCATGAATCCTGGCTCCTTTAGAGTTCAAAATGCTATGAATGACATTACATTTCCTCATATACCTGATACAAGCATGGTAGTAGTTGGTATTCCTATCACCATCAATGAACCTGTTAATGGAGGCCTTCTGTTGGAGAAAACTCTCAAGCCAATTAATGGCAGTAGGAACTTCTCATTAGCTATCATAAGAGAGGCTTCATCCATAGCTCCAGTAATAGCAACATTTTCAAGTTCTACCAGGTCTTGCTCAGCTTGCTCCACCAACTTGTAAACAACCTCAAAGGTAGACTAGTTCCATTGCCTGAGTACTTTACTGGTTTTTTTTTTCTGGAGGTGCCAATGTTTAACTAGAGGATTGAGATGGGAAATATCTGTCCAACAGGCTAATATGGTCTTAATAAAATATGGATTGTTAGACCACATGTTCAAATATCTGAAAGGGGTAAGACCATTAAAAGAGGAAGCATTGCTTGAGAGGAGCAAGGGTCTATGATTAGATTATGCAAAATCAAGATGGGTAACAGTAGTGTGCAGGTAATTATGAAACCAAAGCTCATTGGCAATTAACCTGTCCAAGTGTTACCCCTTCTCCAGGTAAATTGAGACCCAAGGAAACCAAGATCAAATAGACTTGCAGCCTTGCTATTGTCATTGAATTTTGTCATTAGAGAAAGGTTAGGAGACCTGCCACCTTTTTGAACAGTAAGAGATGAAATGCAGTTGAAATCACCCCCAACCAACCAGCTAGAGGACATAGAAGTACTTATGAGATGCAAATTAGTCCAGAGATCTTCTCTATCTTATTTAGTGTAGCCTGCATAGATGATAGTGACATATCCATTGTTGCCAGACACATCAAACACTTGCCGCACTAATTACAATTTTCATTCCATATTGTGTGAGTGCTAACAAAAAACTCAAATTCTCCTTGATTAATACTCGTCATGTTTGTTCAAATTAGTGAATAAATAAATTTGAAAATTTTTAAATAAATCAATATTTAAAAAAAAACATAAACACATTCCTAACTAGTTATTTATGTTCACAAACAAACTCGTTCCTTATTCAACATGCAACTTTTTAAATATTTGATTTTAAATGATTATTCATATCAAATTTATTATTTAAACAAAATTTTATAAACTAGAATAATTTAATTCTTTATATTCAATAGAAAAATCCAATAATTTAATATCAATAATATTTTAAGATGATTAAATTTTTATTGCATGTCTTTCATATATTTATTTATTAATTAATCCAATTCATTAATTAATGTCATACCAACATATTCAATCCATCATACTTTTTAATATTAATTAATTATCATTAGATAGGCATATAATATCACTTTATTAATTATATAATCCTATTAATTCCAAAATATCTTAAATTATTAGTATTTTTGTTCTTTCATTGACCATAATTAGCTTAACAACCAACAGCCTCAACTCATTTTTTCTCCTTTGCCGTGCTTGTTTTGCACGAAATAATTTTTATATAGAAATTTCTGTAATAATTTGTTTATTTTGTTTATGAATCATTTAAGGGCATTTAAATACATGCCACCCAATTCTTATATATTTACATAACCAGCATCTGAACTGTATGTTTTACGTTTCTACCACCCAAATCACTCATATCATGCAAAAATACTACTCATTAACTTTTAAAAAGTGAAATACACATATCAATGCATAAGAAAGGTGCTATTTTGAAATACACATATCAATGCATAAGAAAGGTGCTATAAAAATAATAAAAATAAAATTTTATATATGTATATATATATATATATATGTGTGTGTGTGTGTGTGTGTGTGTGTCGTGTACCTCCGCCAGTTAGTTGGCATCCTCGGTGCAACACCCATCGGGTCCGGGGTTCAAATCTTCTCTGGCACAGTAGGCCTTAAAGAGGTGGTACTCGAATTATTCGGCACATTAAGAGTAATTGGAGGCTCGTATAATTGCCTCTGGTCATTCCTTTAATATGTATATATATATATATATATATATATATA